TGTCCCTACATGTCTCTATATGTCTCATTTGTCCTACATGTCTCATCTGTCCCTACATGTCTCATCTGTCCCTACATGTCCCTACATGTCTCATCTGTCCCTACATGTCTCTACATGTCTCATCTGTCCCTACATGTCTCATCTGTCCCTACATGTCTCATCTGTCCCTACATGTCTCATCTGGCCCTACATGTCCAGGTAACAGTTTGTCTCACTTCCTGTTTCATCAGTAAAATCTGTTTTTGTTGAATCGTYWGTTTTTTAGTTTCCGGTCGTTGTTTGTGTAAACTCAGTTTTTGTCCCTCTGAAAGTCCCCAGACTGTCCTGGACTGTCCTGGACTGTCACCGGTGTTGTGAACAGTCAGACCGGACCAGCGGGACCGGCTGTCTGGTACCTTTGTCTCCTCGGTGGTTCTGCTGCTGGCTGGAGTTGGCCGACAGGTCCTCGGGGACCGCCATGGGCTCCTCGGCCTCCTCGGAGGCGTCGTTGGCGGGGGGGCTGTCCCTGCCTGTAAGCGGGGACACAGCAGACCTCCCATCAGTCTCCGCTCCCCCCCTGGACATGACCTCCATGTGGACCCCGAGCCTTTTGTAAGAACTCATCATGAGGMGGCGCTCACCTGGCATCTGGGCCATCTCCTGGTCCTCCTCTGTCTCCATGCGGTGCAGGTACTCTGAGGAAGAGGAGGAGGAGGAAGGTGTGAAGAGTTTTAATCAAACAGACTCTGAGGGGACAGCAGCTTTAGAAAAGACTCGAGCCGAGTCCATCAGCTCAGGAGGCGCCTGGTGTCATGCTACAATTACACTACAAAGAATTACAGACGTTTTCATTACAGCTCTGACAGGAAGCCGGGGCCGCAGCGACGCCTTGCATCCAGCTCGCCGACCCGCCGGGCCGCCGGGAGCGGGCTCTCGCACCACATTTGTTATTTATTGTTAATTTTCTGCCACGTAATCGTCCCAAAATGCAAACTGACTGCCGCAAAATTAAGCAGAAAATTAACTGGCCCCGGGGTCAGGAGGGACGGGGGGCTCGGCGCGGCCCCCCGCCTGACTGACGCTCGTGTTCTCGCTAATTCACTGAACACGCATCGCTGAGCCCGCCGCCCCCGACTTGACACAATCACATCGAGGAGGAGAGAGGAGGAGAGGAGAGGAGAGGAGTCAGAGCAGCAAACACATCTGGAAGATGGAGAGAGGAGAGGAGAGGAGGAGAGGTCGAAGGAGCAGAACTTTATTAGATTCTGAGAGAGGAGAGGAGCAGGGCTAGAGGAGAGAGGAGACAAGGGAAGAGGAGAGGAGAGAGAGAGGAGAGGAACAGTGGTCCATAAGTGCTCCTATGGCCCCGCTCCTCTCCTCTCTCCTCCTCTCTCCTCTTTACTTTCCTCTCCTCCTCTCTCCTCCTGTCCTCTCTCCTCCTCCTCTCCTCATCTCTCCTCCTGTCCTCTCTTCTCCTCCTCTCCTCTGGCCTTGCTCCTCCTCTCCTCTCCCCTTGTCTCCTCTCCCCTCCAGCCCTGCTCCTCTCCTCCTCTCCTCTCCTGTCCTCTGTCCTCCTCCTCTCCTCTGGCCCTGCTCCTCTCTCCTCCTCTCCTCTGGCCCTGCTCCTCTCTCCTCCTCTCCTCTGGCCCTGCTCCTCTCCTCCACCTCTCCTCTGGCCCTGCTCCTCTCTCCTCCTCCTCTCCTCCTCTCCTCTCCTGTCCTCTGTCCTCCTCCTCTCCTCTGGCCCTGCTCCTCTCTCCTCCTCTCCTCTGGCCCTGCTCCTCTCCTCCACCTCTCCTCTGGCCCTGCTCCTCTCTCCTCCTCCTCTCCCTGCTCCTCTCTCCTCCTCTCCTCTCCTCTCCTCTC